AGATAGAAATAAATCCCCAGAATTGTTCATTTACCTATTTCTTAGTCTAGACTTTAAAACCAACCTGATTTGCATAAACTGATTGGTCTTCTATTTCAAAGTTGTTATCAGTGCTTGTGACCCATTTGGCTTGTGTTGGCTCTGCTAAGTATTTTGTGGTATACATTTACCTTTACATTGGAGATCCTCAGAAAGAAACATCCACAGATGCTTTAATTTAAGAGTTTGTAATTATAGCAGCGCATTCAGTCATCAGCTCTGGTTCAAGCTGATTCTTATGTGGTTTGGAATGATTCTAAAAGACTTCAAATATTCTGGAGATTTGTTTCCTTAAATACAATATTAAAATGTGTTTGGAAAAATTAGATTTTGGGGGAATAAAGTAGGTTCAGTGTGTGTAAACTAAGCCTTTTCAGGATTGCTTTAGATGAATAATGTGTATTCACAAGCTGTTCTCAGTGAAATCTGTCCTTTGTCCAAAAGATCATGCATCTAAAAGCCTGCCTATATATCTCCTTATTATACACTCATATAAATACATCCTAGTTATTTTTACTCAACCAATCAATTTTGGGTGTTTATTAAACCTTGTTTTGTATAGGAGAATAGAGTAAATACTTCAGCATACTTTTTGAACTAATCTGTGTTTATCAGTAATTGTCCAGCACAGTGGCAAACATATTTTATTATTATTAGGGAAGATGAAATTTAGTTATCGTTGATCAAACTAAGTTTTAATTCTTTCCATCACAAGAATACTCATTTTAAGATACACACTTAAATGTACGAATTGTAATTGTCTTTTGAATTTAAGACATTGAAAGAAGCTTCTCCTTAATGTGTGATGTAATATTGTTAAATTAACAATGAAGCTAGACTGTCAGAGCTAACAGACAAGTCTTGTTGTTCGCTGTTTGCTTGGGGATTGTGGATTGTGTTTTATTGTTCCTATGATTGGCAGTAAAAGCCTTATTTCACAGCTTGCACCGAGGAGCTATTGGATAAAGGGTGGTGGCGCTCTGCGAGCTATATTCAAAAACTGTCAATCAGAAGCCCACATAGCCTACTTAGAGAAAGGAGTTTCTTACTGATTCTTCCAAATGTCGTTTCATGCTGTCCTTGATTGGCACAGCCTGGCAGGGAGGATAGATGAATCTGTCACCGGCTAGTTAATTGTGTTGCTGGTCTCAGTCTGACATCAGCTCTTTGACTCTTAAGTGGCTCAATACAAAACAAATTAGGAGATTGTAGTCATATTTCTCATTCTATATGCTCTGACTTTGTTGAATGCAGTCCATAAATCATATTGACTGACATCCTACTGAATGATGAAAGCTGCTTTTGAGACATCTAGCGTAGGCCTAGAAAGCAGCACCATGAAGGTGCCATGGAAGGATGCATATGGCTGACCCTTTGGGAATTTCCTAAGGGCCAAATGTTTCTTTACAGCAATTGTTCCTAAGAGAAAAGCTTTTGGGTAGTACAGAAAAGATTTAACATGTCAGCAGATTCTCTTTTACAAGTGGCTTTGAAATATAAGAAGTTTGTCCAAGGATTTTCTCTTTTTACCAACATGGACTTCAGCAGATGTGAAGAATGGGGGAAATATAAGTGCTATGTCTTCTAGCAGGTGTTATTTTTATGTAACAAAAGCTTTATTTCTTGTGCTTTGCAAAGATAGAATAAAATGTAGAGATAGTTGGGACTGACAAATAATGCAAGGATGTTAGAAGTGATGAGATAATAGTAGTCTTTATAAAACATAATTGGTGTTGAGGAAACAACACCAATAAATTTAGTATTCATTATTATGGATAATTTGGAAAGCAATTGAATAATAATTGAAACAATATTATGTTAATGGATTTATACATGTGTTATATAAAGCAAGTTTGCTTTCAATTTCTTTCAGACAAAAAATGCTTTGATAAGCCTGAGCAATGAAGTATGAAGAGCTAAATTGTTCAACATGAATTTGGATTAATATCTTTCATAAAGAAATTATTTCTTTATCAGTTTGGTATATTTTCAACTTGGAAGAGCTATATTTTGCAACATGTGTATCTTTATGTGTTAGTGTATTTGTGTGTATACACACAAACACACACACACACACACACATACACAGAGTTTCTAGTATATTGAGCAGTCTTCTAACTTAATGGTTAAACTTCTAGGCTTACTTCTTTATTTTTGCCAAAACAAAAGCCTATAGTTATCTCAAATAGAGATAACGCAAACCTTTTCCCTTGTGCATGTGTTTTTGTAATGCCATGACAGCAATAAGCCTGTAGTCGGAGTGCATAGTTGAAAGCAATTCTGTTGCTTCTTTACTTAGGTGTTAGCATTTGTCTATCATTATAACATGCACTTAATGTACATTTATGAAATTCGGCTTTAAAAAAAGCCATGTAATGTCTCTTGTGTCATGCATTGGAATCATTACCTTGTGCTCCACTACTGTTAATACATTGATTTGAAACCACTGAATGCCTAGGTTTGAAGACAAACAGGGAATGGAATATGGTACACCAATATATGGTAATAAAATGTTAAATAGGATTTAATTGGTTGCTAATTTGGGGAGGGGCAATATTTTACTCTCTATATTACAAAGGCATCAGAGCCAATCTGTAACATAAACGGGCTAATTTCACAGAGCCCTGCATTTTATCAAAACGTGCAGCTGTTTTATTAAATCAAAATGAGACTTCCATTTTGTATCTTAAATCTGTTATCTCATAATTCAGTTAAGCCCATCGATTCTTCCCTTGTCTTCCCTTCCCTCCCTCCGCTTCTAGACTCTTTTCTCATTCATATTGATACTGTTCCATTTGGGGAATAGAACTGCATGTCTGCTAGTGTAATTACAAGTGACTTTGGCAGCTGTTTAAGCATGCTGAGTGTGTATTCACTTTTTATATGTTTGGTTGATAGCTGGCTTTCGGTAGTTGATTTGTTTCAGTCACATGTTCAGTTTTAGAAAATATTTTGATGTTTGAATGGCCAGCAAAAAACACCTTAGAAGAGGTCTGTAGAGTCCGTTGAACATTTAAGAAACCTAGATTATAGTAGGTACATGCTTCAAACATGATTTGGAAGAAGTACTTTGGAACTTGCATGACTTCTGGTATTCATTAAAAGAACCCAACTTTCTTCAGGCTTTGACAGGAGTCTGAAAAACAAGATGACACTCATTAAACTCTTTAAGCAGCTGTATGTTCTGGAAGGCTTGTGTGGAAGCCAGAAAAAGGCTGGACTATATTAATGAAGAGCAGAGAACTACAATGTCTGCACACTTTTTCAAATAATTTTTGAAGTGTGCACATCCATTATGGGTTAGATGATACTGTATATTGCCCACAAATAAATACCAAGGAACAAAATAAGTAGAATTTCCCAAAGGTATCCTTTTTATATTTTGATATAGTTGGGAACAGATAAATGCTAAATTGGTTCGCAGTGAAAATGGTCATTCATTTTCGTATATTGTTTTCACGAATACAATATTCGTGATTAAGCAAGTGGTCTTAATCTATGAATACAAGCCATAAGGAGACTCTGATTATGCCATTATCCTTTCTCATTTGTGGAAATTCTTCCATTTCAAATTACTTCTTTCAACTTTCCTCTTTCCACAAAAACATGTATTTAAAAAAAAGGCAGAAAAGTTGCAAAATGTGCTTTGACATAGCATTTATACTATACTATAAAGTACTATATCCAGAAATACCCTTGAATTTATTGTCTTCTACATCATGCCATTTTTCCTCTTGAAGCTTCATATCACAAGATAAAATAAATAGACTAGTCTTTGAATCATGCTTGATTCCTGATGACTACATGGACTGTCCCTGTAGCTTTCTCGACAGCAATACTGAAGTGGTATGCTCAACTTCCCAGTCTAGTGTAGCCCTGGTATTTCCTGATGATCTCTCATCCAATTATTGGGTCTGACCCTTCTTGCCTTTTTGAGATCTGCCAGTGTCATCTCCATGCAATTGACATGATATGGCATTCATTCCGAACTAAAACAATCCAAGAGCACAATCTTGTATGTGTGCACTTTGCAATATAAATAAATATGCAAATATCCTGTGCTGCTTATTCCCAAATAAGTGTGTATAGGATGGCAGCGCAATTTACTGTTAAGTAAACATGCACAAGGTTTTGCACTGTTCAATACTACAGTACTTAAATTCATGGATTATATGGTCAGATGACTGATGAATACAATTTATTGTTGTTGTAGTAAAGAAAAAGCTTTTCTTTAAACATTTTATAATACATTAATTTTAAAATAAAAAGCAGCCCATGTTAATTAGCAAAGTGCAATGTTTGCTAATAGCTGGAACACTAAGTGATTCTTTAGCTTAAATCTGAATTCACACATGGCTATGAATTGGTCAGTTACTAAAACATAAGTTCACTAAAATGAATGGGACTTCTTTCCTGGAAATATGCACACACCAAAAAATTATATTAACTTCCAACAACTAGTTCTGATCTCCTTTTATTAGCTACTAGGCGATGGGACTTAAACTGTTAGTGTGAAATGTGTCTTTGGACAGCTACATATATTTTGAACAATGGAGAGCGCCATGCAAGTTGGGAAATATTTAATATTTAGAATTTTCCCACTTATACAGAAAAGATTCTTGGATAGTGAGGGAAGCAACTGAATGTTTCGGCAGAGAATGTATAGCTTTCAGGGACATTTGTATTAATATCCTGTAAACATCAAGACTTTTTTCTCCCCTAAATTTGTTTACAGGAATAAAGAACCCCCCAAAAAAAATCTTACCCATTTTTTGTCTATTTGAAAATTCTTGGATGTTGGCTCAGGCATCCAAGGGAAACTATTATGGTAAAACAAAGCCAAGCATTCCTTATCTGTTTGTCTTGAGCTGAATAAATGCAGGGGGAGGGGGCCAAGTGGGAGATCTTTGTGACAAGAGGTACCAGCTTATTTCTATAACGTGTTACCTTTTCTTTAATAGGGAAAAGTAGCTCAGACTGCTTGTATGTCTGCTTGCCAGCATCTCTCAACTTCCCTGATGCAGATGCTGTTGGATAGTGACTTGAAACAGATCAGCATGGGAGCCATTCAGCAATTTAATTTAGATGTCATACAATGTGAATGTAAGTATGCAATTCTGAATGAAAGGCATGCTTTGAATGAATAAACAAGGGAAACCAGAAATCCATGAGATTAACATCAGTTATTCAAAGTGTCGTGGAATCTGGATGCCCTGTAGTGTTTGTGGTTCTTTTTTTGGATTGAGAGGGAATAACTGCATATCTGTGATGCTGTATTTTGTTTTTCCCCTGTGCGGCTTGCAAAACATTACTGGCTCTGATCATTTGCTGCCATTGCTGGGGCCTCCTAAAACTTTATTTGCTAGGACAGAAAATCTTAGGATCAATCTACAGATGATTCTAGGAAATTAGTGTAACATTATGTTGGGTATTTAACTGAATTCATTAACATCTTTGTCTCAGAAATGGTCCTAAATTTTTAACAGAACTATGAATGAGCCAACTGAAAGTTCTTAATTGATGGAAATAAGTTAAATATCCAAATATTTGTTACATTCAAAGAATTTCATAGGAATATTTTTTATTAAACTGATTTGACATTGAATTTTCTTTTGTCTCCCTCTGCTGGTAGCTTGAGCATTTATTATAATAAAAGGAAAGTGCTGCTTTTGATTATTAGTGTAATGCATTTAAAAAAATTAAAATCTGTAGTTTTGACTCAAAAGTTAATGGAATAATATATTTTAGTCTTTTAGATACTACAAACCCTTTTGCTGTTTCTGTAGCAAAAAAACCAAATATAGCTAACCCTCTGGAAATTAGCTCTGACAGAAATTGCTCAATTGTTTTCATCTTGTTGAATCATGATGATGGGTTTCAAGAATTCTTCCCAAACATAAATAAATACTTGCTTAAATATACTGTAATGGGATTTATGAACTTGATCCATTCACCTCAATGAATACTTCTCTGATATCCAGTTCTGCATTCAAAATTTGTTTAGATAGTCTTTTATAAGTAAGTAAATGTAATCACTTGACTATAAGTTGACACATTTGACCTTCAAGATTCCTAACACAATTCTTTTAAGCTACAAGAATAGGATGTTAGTAGCCTAATCCTATTTATGGACTCAAAAGTGAGTGTGCTATGCCCAATGAGGCTTTTTCACCATCTTGGTATGCAGGAGATTTCACTTAAGTTAAATATTGGGAATAAATTCCAAATGATAATGGTGGAACCAGTTTGGTCTCGTGGTGAAGGCCCCAGGCTAGAAAGCAGGAGACGGTGAGTTCTAGTCCCACCTTAGGCATGAAAGCCAGCTGGGTGACTTTGAGCCAGTCACTCTCTCAGCCCAACTCACCTCACAGGGTTATTGTTGTGGGGAAAATAGGAGGAGGAAAGAGTATTAGGTATGTTAGCTGCCTTGAGTTATTTATAAAAATAATAAAGGTGGGATAAAAAATCTACAAACAAAGGGACTAGGAAAGCTATGCTATCATCATACTTAGTGTTTTAAATGAACAATTGGTTAGCTTTATTTTGCCTGCGATGAGTCGAAATAAAACCAACTCTCTGCCTCTTACAATTTTATGCCTTAAATTATTGTATTATAGGTAGTCCTGGTTGAGCAACCACAATTGGGACCAACAGCTCAGTTGTTAAGTGAAGCAGTCACTAAGTGAAACTGCAATTGTGCTTATGATCTTACTTCAGCCTTCCTTTGCTTTACAGACCTGCAAAGGTCATAAATGTGAGGATGGGTCATAAAGTTACTTTTCCATTATCATAGTAACTGTGAATGGTCGCTAAATGAGACTACCTATAATTGCTTAAATTATTTTACTAATCGTCTCTCTCAGCCTTTTCCCTCTGACATTCCCTTTATATTTCCTTTATGAAACATTAACCTAAGAAGACATTTACTTAAACCTCCGAACCACCAACAGATCAAATTGAACAACTGTTACAGATGGTTTAGGTACTAGATATTCTATCCTGCAAGAGTTCTGGGTTAGCTCTTGCATCGGAATCCTTTCCAGACCCATCAGTCCCCATGTGTAACTGTTCTCTTGCTGCATCCCTTCTCTACATCCTTATATCCATGATCTCCTATTTGATAGATCTCCCAGCACTCCAGAAATGGAGGGGGTAAAAGGAGGCTTTTTGGCTGGCTGATACCATTAATCAACTAGCAGATATCATTGAGTACAATAAAGTATTTATTCAGTAAAATGTCAATTCTTTAGGACTCTCACTCTGCTTTAAAGAAAAAGTCTACATTCTTTCTTTGAAAGGTCTTCATGAATATATGTTTTTATGGAGAAAAATGACCTAAGTTACCTTATTCTAAAACGAACATAATTTTACTTAAAATTTTCCAGAGAGAAACTTCCTGGAAGGAAATGTCATTGCTTCATATAGCCCATTCCCAGTAAATCAGGATTTTTCAGAATCCTGATTTATTATTCTGTGTAAATCTGGCTAATTCCTCCCCTTAATGAGGAATTAAAAATAATTAACAATTAATTAATAATTTATAATCCTTAAATCTAAATAAGTGAAAACAGGGTTTCTAATTTGTACTGTTTTCCTAAGAAATTCAGACAATAATTTATGTGCTAAACACATGCACAGATAAAGAGAGAGAGATAAAATAAAAATCTTAGAATGTACCAAATCTAGATTCTTTCTGACATTTTTTTCACAAATTCTAATTATTTCTTTACAGTGTTTGCAAGTTCTGAGCCTGTACCTGGATTCCATGGAGAAACCTTGCAGTTAGCATTCATTGACCTCAGACAAGTAAGATGTTGTTGTTGTTGTTTAAAAATGTGGTTCCTTCTGAAGAATACTCAACAAATACTAGTTATTTAGAGTCAATTCAAGCTTTATCCCCCAGACCTGATAATTGTCTAAATAGTGCTATAATGTTTATGTGTTTCCATGCAAAGCTGTTTCATGAAAATGAAATGTTGTGACGTCAGATAATTCTAATTGTATCAGTTACTATTATTGTTATTATTAATCTTTTAATATTTCATGTTATTTTTGTTTCTTTGTTTAGCTTATCATACTTGGTATTCCAGCCTTAAAACGTATCAGAATTAAAATCTGGGATATTTAAAAAGAATTAAAACAACAATTCATACCCTTAAATTTAACTATTTTTAATGGTTAAAAGTTGTGGTCCTAGTCCTTTAAAAAAAAACTAACAAATTGATTAGACCCCTTAATCCAATAAGGGATGCATTCCATCTGTCTGGGGTGATCATAAAAAAGATCAATTCAGAGCTGCCAGGAGATGAGCCTTGGTGACCATAGGCAAACCACTGTGGATGACTTAATAAGCAGGGGTGTGGGGGATAGGGGGGGATCAAATAGGAATGTCTTCTCTCAGATAGCCTGGACCCAAACTATGCAGGGCTATACAATTAATCAACAGCACATAGTAATTCCCTTAGGAACAAATCAGCAGCCAGGATAACGTTTTAGTACAGGTGTAATATCGTCTCTTTGAGTTTGGACAGGAACCAATCTGGCTGCTGAGTGTTCTACTATGATTCCAAGCTAGACACAAAGGCAGCCCCTTGTTGAGTACATTACAAAGGTCAGAGTTGGAGATTACCGGAACATGCAACATTTCAGGCAGTGAAATAATTATTTCTATACCTTTGTGTTTCATTGCATATAGATGTAGCATTTGTACCTGACAAAAATCACTGGTGATTGTTTACATTTTTCTCCTGAAAAGCAGCTACATTGCAACAACTGGATGGTTTTGTAAAGATCAGCCTAAAGTTGCAAAAAAAAAAAGAAAGAAAGAAAAGAAAAGAAAAAAGAGAGAGACTTGGTGTTTAGTGACAGTACTGTACAACTAGAAAGGGTATATTTTGGGATTTGGTTAACAGTATCTCAAGATGGATTGGACAGAGCATGTTCATAGTTATGATTTTCCTGAACTTGTTCTATTTTTATTATTTTGGATATGCTGTATACATGTTTTCTGCTTAAATATGTTTGTTTTGAAATCACATGATAATGTCAGGTTTCTAGCAGATAGATATCAATGCATTGCAGCAATAATACGTTAGAAATGTGTTGATTGGAATTGGAGGGAAAGCAGATTTATGTATATGCTCAGTTTAATTGCAATTCACTTGGCATAAGGTAATGTCTTCTCAGACAATTAGGACTAATTTGTACTCGTTCGGCAGATGTGAGGTTACAAGTTCAGTTTTAAAATACGGGAGTGCTAATTTGGGGGGGTGGGCCCAAGGCTTTTGAGGTTTAACAGCTCAAAACCCAACACTGTACTTGCAACTTGAATAAGGAACTTGGTAGCCCACCATTAAAGCAATGAAATAGAGCTGCCAGCAGATTGTTCTCAGTGTTTGGGTCCCTTGTTCACCTAATACAGGACATCAATGACCAGGTGTCTTAGAACTTGATTAAGGTGCAGTATATATAGAACTAGAAAAGCTGGAAGCTCTTTGTTAGCCCTGATGTATGTTGTGTTACTAGGGAAGATGTTCCTTAATTTATTAGTTCCTCCTGCATTGGTGATTTCTCTTTGATTCCAGGTTCTAGGTATCCTCTGGGCTTTGTAACACTTTGTAACTCAGGTATTTTGAATAAAGATAACAATAATATTATTAATAGATTTTGTATTTTTATAATTGCTTCATCAAAGATAACACATTTTTGAAGAAATACAGAAATACATGATCAAAGATAAAAGAGATATTTAAGTTTATCCAATTTTAATACTGAGAGCTGAAAAAGAACTTGAGATTTTCTGTTGACAAAAGAGTATAAAGAAGGAAACTCTTCTTCACATAATGGTTAACTAATTTCTGCAACTCATTAGTACAAGATGAGCAGCAGCAGAAGTAGCCATTCACTTTGTCTTTGGTTGAGAGCTAATTTTATTCTGATCCAGCAAAGTAACCCATGTGATCTTATTTCTTGTATTCTCATGACGAATTCCAACAATTAATCAAATACTGTTTTAATTTCCCAACAAATTTTATTAGTTACTATTGAAGGGAGATTCTGTCATTCTTACCAAAAGTGAGTTTCAGGCTTTTCTTGGCAATTCAGTTATAGAAAATTCCATCATTTCAGATGGGGAATCTCTAATGAGCAAAAAGTTGTATACTAAGATCATAAATTAGATGATCAGTACATAAGGTTGAATTCTAATATATTTACACAGCTGTACATTTTAATGAAAATAGTATTTTAATATATGCTGGTACATTGCTCTATTTCTATAGGAGGTTATATGGATATAAGTGGGGAAAAAAGGTAAAATTTTAATAATGTGTTTTATATGTATTTGAGGTCAGAGTTGACATGCAGCAGCATTACAAGTAACATTTTGTTACAATATTATCTTTAAAACAGAAATTATACTAGAGAATATTTATTCTAGAATAGGGTTATTCTAGACTTCTAAAAACGAAACAGAAGGAATAGAAACATCTTTGTTCACCTGACCTGGGATATATGTTAATCTTATCTCACATTAAAAAAAAATACTGTTTTATTATTTTTTCCTTTATACAACTAATCAGTCAGTTATTCTACAAGCTTTGTTTGCTAACCTAGATTTTTTCACAAATGTCCTAGACAGTGGACTATAAAATCCCCATTATATATATGGAGAAACTGACATGGATAATTCATCTCTTCACAGTGACGTAAGAGTGTTATTTCTTGTTCAAAGGCTCAGGAAGCATTGCTTAAATATATTGTATATCCCAAGTTTTTATGCAACAATTAATTGCAGACAATTAGTTACATTCATTTTTTTTGTCCTGCTTTTGAATGCAAAATTTGAGGTAAATTACCCACCCTTGTGTTTTCTTTTCCGCCTAACTCATGTCAATGATATTTAGATTTTATGAAGGATTTAGCACCTTTCCCTCTTCTTTATTTATGATTCATTTCTCTCTTAATAGGACAGATGACAGTTCTTTTCAAGAATACTTAGAAAGGCAACAGAGCCATTTTCAGAGAGTTCTTATAAGAGGTCAGGCTTCTGTTCTTTAGTTTGAATTTGATACTGTTTCATGAATTGCAGGATATGAAAGATAAGGAAGTAAGTCCAGTGGTCAGGTTTTACCTGCCCACCCGGACTGTGCCCTGAGGTCAAACTCCTGATATTTGCTGTTTGGTGCAGAGGAGCTGATGACAGGTAGGGGCTGATACAAAGGGGAAAGCTTGAACCCTATCAAAGCTAAAAGGCAAGAGAATTGGGACATTGCAAGAGACTGTAGCTAAAAGATGGATCAGCAGGATTGCCCTCTTTTTAAAAAGTAGCTGACCTGTGAGAGAAAAAACTTTATCGTCCTGCCAATCACATGCTTGCTAATGGAAGCCAGTTATCTCAACAACAGCTTAGTCCCTTGGTGTGATTTCATGACAATTTACAAGATCTGGAGGCGAGGGCAGCCCAGATTGGTAATTTTTGCCACAAAAACTATAGCACATGTATAAAAGCTTGGTGGTTATTTCAAGAAGTCTACCCAGCTGTTTCAGAGATCCTCTTAGAAGGTCTCCTACACGGGAGGTACACAGAATAATATCATGCCCAACCTAATAGAGATGATAATCTACCTGGTATTTTGCATAGTATTTTCTTTCCACGTAGGGATGGGTTTTGGTTTTGTCTTATTAGAAGTGGCTTTCTGCAGTCATTTGAGCAGGGTCATGTTTGCAGAGGATCTCAAATGATTCAGTATATCTTATAGTAAGCAAAAGGATTTTCCAATTTAGGTGAATGGGTAGCAAATGGGCAAATACGGTTCACTATGACCAGGGGAAAAATAAATTCTGACTTCACACATACTCTGATAAGGACTGCATTTCTCAAGGCAAGGGATAGCTCAGTAAAAATGCTAATCCAGTGTGGGGCTGCTGTGAAAAGGCAAGTATTCTGATGAAGATTAATAGACGAGAGACTGAAAATAGATCAATTTGGCTAATTAAAAAAAAGATTAGGCAAATTCAAGAAGAGGAATTCTATCACTGCTATAGCTGTTTATTGTTTTCAGTTTTGCAGACTGTCCATTCAGTACAGTTTTGGGGGGGATTCACAAGTCAGAGGGTCCTATTCATTTATGTTGTGCTTACGGGCTTCCCATTGGGACGTGATTTGCCACTGAATCATACTGGATGCTAAAGCCCTTGCAGTAAACTATGGTTAAGACCTCTTGCTTGTGTGTTCAGCAACAAAAGTCTCTCCTCTTAGGGTGGCTAAAATGAGTAAATATTATAGCAACTCTGTAAAGTCCAGTATTGACTCTTACAGCCTTATTCTTTTTATGGTTCTTCTATTTCAGTCTAAGTTGAATAAAAATAGGAATATGTAGATAAGCACACTAAGGAATTTATTAGCTAAGTGTTCACATGTATAGTAGAAATCACACCAATGTATGATTAGTCATTGCTTTGGGATTTAGCACATCTCTGTGTTGATAGGGTACTTGCTCTTCTGCCTGAAAAATGTTTCCCCTGTGATTTTCTATCAAATATGTTCTGTTTTGCTTGACCATTATAAAATTTGGATTTGAATTTGTCCTGGCTTGCATTTCAGTGATTTTCATTTCTAGAAATCTTGGAAGGTAGTCTACACAGTTGGTATTTACTTATAAGGATGGTCTTTACAATTAACAGAATTAGCTCTGTATCATTAGAGCAACTTTCAGCTAAATCAAGAAAGGATAGAAATGCTCCACTAAAACAAGCTAGAATTTCAAATGATGTAAAAATGATCCCCACTAATATTTGGCTAATAT